AAACAAAATTCTCAAACTTTTCAGCAAATTAATTATTACGGTTCCTGCTGATGATTACAAGTCACCCTTGTCCCCCATTTTACTTCCAATGAAAACATCAAGCACAGTATACTCTAGGCCTTGGCCAGACACCAATGAATCACTTTTTACGAGGGTTTTTAAGAGGGTGTTTTAGATTTCTGCTGGATGTTCTAAATGGTTTTGGCTTGTGGAAAATTAATAAAAGGGGGTCGCCTTTTAAAAATATGAATTTGGAAGTATATGAGGAAATTATTGGATTTATAACATTGATTTATCTAAAGGAATGCATCCAATATTGCTGATACTGATATACCGTATTAGCGCCATACTCCCTCCTCAATTTAGGGTAGGGTGCTGTATATGCACCAAGGGACTAGAGAACCTGACCAATGGATCTGCTGCTATGGACAACTGACCAATGGTTGTACATGCCATCTAAAGGACGAGAAAATTAAAGTAAGGTGTTTTACCGAAGGACATAAGAACAGCATCAGGAGAAAGTCTCTCTAGCACCCAAGTGCTGAAACTCTCTTGTATTCCGAAAGGTCCACTGATTAATCTCAGTTAAGATAGTATAATACATACTCCAAGTATCGAAATGCACGCCATGTATTATACTATCTTTATCTTCTCTTGGTATACATTATACATTAATAATCAGAATTTACTAATTGTATATTATGGAAAATATGGGTATATTTATTAGTAAAAACATTGAATATTGAAATAGAATGGTTAATGAGTTATACATTTTCATATACTGCATTTATTTATATATCATATATTATTACTTACTTATATTTATTTATTTACTTATTTATTTTATTTATTGTTATAAGTATTAAATTTTATTTATTGTTAAAATTTCTATACAATAATTTTAATAATTTATAATCTTTTTGTACAGTATTTTTGATGATAACGTATTACTATAAGGCATCCCTTTTGGTGTTGAATGATGATTTGAAATAAAATAAAATGAAAATTAAATAAATTATTCATATTTAGACTAATTTATATTTCAAAATTATACTAAACTAAGTGACATTTTAAAAATAATTTTCAGTTACTTTTAGACCTTAGAAATCAGATAGTTTAAAATTGTGTCCTCATAGCTGAGTTTTCAATCAGGTATTGGTGTTGGTAACTAGGCCCGTGGAATTTGCCTTCTGGCGAAGAAGCCACCACAAACTATTATTGTGTTGGAAGTGTGACAAGTATTGGGTCACGCTTTGACCTATCAAGTTCACACTCAACTTGCAGATGCATAGTCTGGTTGCTATGGCCAGATAACATGGTGTCAACTAGCAGGAAAAAAAGTTGCTACGGTAACATGGTGTTTGTCATCACATGGATGCAAGAAGATTGAAAAGAACAAGAGTATCAAAAAAGAAACAATCGTTTTAGTGCACGAAAACTTAAATAGTTTGCATTTTGTTAGTTAATTCCGGATAGGACTGGACTGGATCAACTTTGTACTGGCTTCATTCGTTCGTTTAAGTCCAAAATCACAGCGGAAGATCCGTCTGTAGGTTACATTTGAAGGTACATCTTTTAGGTGCAAGTTGACAGTGGCGTTTATAACGCAGATTTTGACTTGATGTGCTGTATCGGTTCACCATTGTGTTGACGTGATTCAACAGGGCTGTCACATGTAGGCTTCTAGAATATTACCTTTAAACCTACTCTTAGAATGTTCTGTCAAAATGTTCCATCATGGAGCTCCTGCCAATATTGTTTGCATAATATTCCGGTTATAATCAGACAAACATGAAATACTATATTTTAATGCGTTACGTGCGTATATGTCGACCAACATTTCAAGCATCAAAGAGATCATTCCATCCAAAACATTTACTTAATCAAAAATGATTGAAATATATGTATTTAACGTTTTAAATCTGATATTGACCAATAAATAACTTGAAACGTCTTTATACTAGAGGCATTAAAATCTTTTTAAAGTGGACTTTAAAAAATACAAATTGTACAGTATGTACTTCGATCATCACATTAATATTGTATTCATATTGAAGGCTAAAGTATATAACTATTCCAACTAAAAAAATGTTATATAGCCTACAAGTATAGCATGTACTTCGATCATTATATTGATATTGTTTTCAAGGCTCAAGTCTATATCAGTGATTTTGGCATCATTCCAACTAAAATCCTCGACTAATGCAAGGTGTACGCCAGCTTTCGCAAGGCTCCGAAGGGGGAAAATTTGGGTAAACTGTAGGCCTACTTTATATTCTAAGATATTGAAGCGGTGTCCAACAAAATACACTCTCCTTTTGCTGCCACCAACGCTACCGTTACTATTAAAGTAATGCTACATCTTATCAATTGTTAACAAAACATATTGACCATCACTGATTAAATCAGTCAGTTAATCAACTCGATTTAAATGGGATAGTATTATATTATCACATTCATTCTATTATCTATTGTATTTTGGATTAATCAAAATTAATCAAAATGATAAATTATACTATAACTTGATTTAACCAACTTCCTTTGACTGAGATTTAGATATACGTGCAGATAAATTTAACGGACAGTTTGACTTTTGATCACAACATCCATCCACTATTTAACTTTCTAAACCAAAAATTAGGTTATTAAACCAATTCGAGACACGGGTAGATTTTAAAAGGGTTCGATTCAATTTTTTCAATACACAAGAGTAGGAGAAGATGATTACCAAGAGATTGACCTTTGACCACAGCATCCATCCACAATTTAACTTTCTACGCCAAAAATTGGGTTATTAAACTAATTCAGGATAGATTTGGAAACTGTTTGATTCAATTTTTCCAATACACACGAAGAAGGAGAAGACGTTGACTGGATTTAAAGATACCCGGAGGATTTGCAACCCATCTTGAGAGGCTCAACATATGACACCGCCACGAGGCATCCGATACGCGGCGTGATTAGGTCACGTCCATAGGGAAAACAGCAAACGCATCATGAATTCGACATCCTATACTTTACCTGAATAATCTATTCGGTTATAATTTTCCAATTTAGTTTAACCTTTCTCATGCATTTATAAAAAAAACTTATCAAGGCCTAATCAAGAATTTCTTTAGGGGTGAACTACCCCCACCGTACACCATCCCGGTATTTCTGATTCAAGGTTTCGGGGCTACAAAATTATTATTGAACGCGATGAATCAAAAAGGTGGCAAAAAATATATATTATCTTGGAGAAGACTAGTAATAGGATGTTTTAGTTGGAAAAATAAAACATTTTTATAATTACTTTGGTAGACAAAACTTTAAGATTTAATTACCCCTTTATTAAAAAGGGTTACATGTTACTTCCAATGTAATTTCTTACATCATTCTAAGTTTCATATTTTCATTTATTGTTTTAGGCATACTTTAAAATTTCTATCGTAATCATACATGTGAATATGAATGTAAATTTGTTAAATAAATCTAAATCGAAATGAAAATTGAGATTTGAACGCAAAGAAAGCCCACGAGAAATACAAGCATTCATTAAGTAATAGGAACCACTGAGTGTCTAAGCCAGTGAGTAATAGCAATTTTTTGAAGGTGGAAAGAGAACATGTAGGCAGTGTGAGGGGAATTGTGCATCTACCACTTAAGAAAACCAAATTAATGTGGCCAATTAAAGCCAGACACAAAAATGAGATTCTTTAAATCTAACTTAAATGATTATTTATCAAAGAGAGCCAACCTTGAATTACGGAATGAAATCAATTACGAAAATGACGAGCTATACAGCAGTACCGGTAGTAAGTGCTTTTTGCCGTATCAGGTCAAACCGTCACTAATGACTTTCGAGCGAACAAAATCAATGCTCTCAATATAATAAGATTACCTGTGTACTCAACGGTACACACTGGCGGCTCAAAATTACATTTACCGAGAACTGTGGGATCGCAAAGCTAATACGCATAACATCACTTCCGTAAGAATCTTGCATCTATGTAAACTAATTAAACATGAATGCTGTATCAAATTTCGCCCAATAGGAATATCCGATAGAAAATCTATATCAAATTTCGCCCAATAGGAATAACCAATAGAAAATAAGAATCAGACATACTCTATTCATTGGATATTTATTATGATAAATGAAAGAGCAAGCTGGGAAAATAAAATGAGAATCAGATCGGTTTTCTTTGAAACAAAAAGATTAAATACAAAACTATACTAAGTACTTTAAAGCCCTATAGACTGTCAAGTGTTATCTGACAAAAACATCTGACAAGCCTAAATATGGTCATGATGACATCACATCATGGCCATACATATTCATATCATGACTATATATGGGCATACAAAATTTGATAGTTTGGACAGATGCTTAAGTGTAGGAATGCAAATGAAATGAGAGAATTACCCACAGATTTAGTTGAAGAGTTTGTTGATAATTTAGATGCGATTGGAATTTATTGACTTAAAAGGTTTTAAGCAGTTGTTACCTGCGTCAGAATTATGAGGAATTCTTAAGAAACGACACATTATGCCACTTACGCATTTACAGAGAAAAAGCGTTTATGTAACCATTGTGGAGAGGCTATACTGAGATGAAGTACTCTATAATTTTTACATCATAAAATCACGACAACCATGTGTGAGGAGAACACTATAAAAATTTGCATGTAGGACAAAAACTACACAGGACAATAACCACCGGGACAAAATGACACCAAAATGGAATATACCATTGTTAAAGTGGGGAGGGCCCTTTATAACCGAGGAATCCACCTTTCAATTAAAAGGCTTTTTCATCAATGCATGACGATTTCAAAGCCAATATTTTATATTTTTTAGATAATTGTAAAGTCAGCTATTACTACTCATTCAAGTTATAGTCCGGGATTCTGCCCGAAGAAAGGCTGGTATAAAATTGAGTGAAAGTAGGGGTTGGGCCGAGGACCTACAGTAATGGCAAAATACCCATTAACCTTGAGCTAAACTCGTAGTCTACCTACCTCTAGGCTATATCCATCGGTTTCTTCTCTATCCAAGTCATCACTGAGTGTAGATATAACACCTTGAGGAAAAAAAAGAATAAAATTAGGTTTAATGGCAATATTATGTCCTGTAGGATAAAGAAAGTTATCAAATATATATCAAATATATATAAATATATATATATATATATATATATATATATATGATGTGTGTATATAGGTGTATGTGTGTACGTGTATAAGTATATGTATGTATTTGTGTGTGTTTGTGTGTATGCATATATATACTTTTATTTTATTTATTTTTATTTACTTTTATTTTTATTTACTTTTATTTATTTATTTATATTTTTATTATTATTATTATATTTTTTTTATTTAAAAATGTTATATAAATTATTGCATGCTATTTAATTTTTAATGACGCTGTTAGAAGAATTATTATATATTGCATTATGCTATTTTTAACAATCATTTACTACATACATGGAGGGAGGTCTTCTCATCGTATATACTATAAATACTCATTGTAAATCTTGAAATCATGTTTGCATGTTTTGTTTTGTATTGACTTTACTTGGATATTTAATAAATGAAATGAATGTTGACAAATATAAATATGTTCACAACCAACATTCATATAATTCAAAATATTAACATAATACAGTACAATTAAGACTAATAAATCCAAAGATTTCCTGCAATTTAAAAAAAAAATAAATAAAATAAAAAAAAAACGTATATAAAATAAAAAGGATGACATACCAACACCATCCAATCTATTTCAGTTAATTAATGTTGAAATAACAATTATTCATGATAGCTTATTCATGTATACAACAATAAACAGTAGTGCTGGGTTGAATAATGATCTCCTTTCCCCCAAAAGCACTTTGATAAGCCATCAATAAACAATATTTAAACATTATTATTAAAAAAATAGATAAATGCCTCTCTTGTTTAGTGTCTGCTCCATAACTATGCAACTATTCCTTCCTGGTTGATGCATTACAATAAGCCAAAAATCTCTGGCTACTCTTCCAGCATAAATAACAAGCTCAAAGTATTCAAGGAGATATAACAAGTTCTGCTTGTTCGTGTATGATGATGATAGCTCCTTTAAAGTTGAAATTTCTTGCCAAGCAGGTGAAATGAATGTCTTTATGGAGTGTGCAATAATAAAACATACCATACAAATATATTATGTTGGCGAGTACTGTATGCAGTGCTTAATCTATTCACAAACATCGACTGTGAAGAACAAGGTCATCTCTTGTATTTTTGCCATTTGGCAAAATAATATATTTTTTGATTTAAATGCTGGTAATCCCATATCGCTATTAAACAATGTTTTCAAACAGATATTACACTTTTTTTTTTACAAGAACCAGTAACATTTTGCCCAGGCTCAGTATTCTAATTTTTTTTTCCCCATTTCAGGCTCAAAATGTTCTTATTTTGTTGATTTTACACGCTTTTCAAACATATAGAATTACTGTATTGTATTAAAGATAGTATTACATAGTCACAGCCAAACTGTAAATGAGGTACAGATAGGATCTGTTGGGGCTTTTTTATTAAACAAAAAAGCTCATTTGAAATTTTACCTCAGCCTCAATTTGTTCTTATTTTGTTTTTAATTTTTCAGCAATTAAATTTTTTCTTAGGGTTAGGGTTAAATATTTTGTTTCTACCATTATTAGTATCGAGTACTATAATGTACTTGTAATTATTTTGCTGTGATACCTAACAAATTTGCATGTAGACAAATTTGCTCTTCTAAATGTTTAAGGTGTTACTATACTGTTCTCCAAACCACATACTAATTGGTCAATTAAACTGATTTACTGTATTGCCAAATAAATTCAATCAATCAACAGTGTATGAATCATTCCTTAGCATTAAAATATTATCTTAGAATAATTACAAATATTTTAAATTCGAATCAAGTCTGGAATAAACAAATCTAAAAATTTTAATTAATATTTTGCAAAAAATTACAATAAATTAAAAAAAAAATAGGTTACACTTTTCTTCCTAAAAGAAAAAAAAATTTATCCATAAATCTGAAATTTGAATAACTGGTTGTTTTATGCATGGTTTGTACCTGTCAAAATAAGAACGTCTATTTCATTTTTCATTTTTAATCGAAACGCTAATGTTCCATAACCAGGTCACAAATGTATCTATTATTACAAAGTTCAAACATCGATAAAATTCCTATAAATTAGGCCCAATAAAAAAAAATAATTTGTTTATCGCCCTCACACGCATGTCTTCCATGGTATTGAAAAGAAATATACTTTTTAAAGAAAAAAAAATTGAAAAGAAAAACATTAATTTAAGATTTATTTTAGTAGATCTATGTCCTGGAAATAAACCGATGGGAAGTTGACCTGTCATTGATAATTAGAGTTTTAAGCCATTGAGTGGATTTGAAGCATACTGTACAACCCTTTGGTTATTTGTCCTGTAGTTTTTATATCTACAGACGGCGGTCAACGAGTAATAGAGTCTAACATTTGATCCGTCACGTTGTTTGTAAAGTCATTCCAAGACAATGTATGGCTTGCCAGAAAAGACATTAGGCGTCCATAATCTCTAAGCAGCAGTCTCGACGTTGCAGTGCCACTTAAGTCTACAAAATGGCTCCTTATGTAACAAATAAGAAAAAAGGGGGAAAAAATTAAGATCATATATCAGCTTAAAAGAAGTTGATTTGTCTTGTAATTTGATAAAGAATATAAAATAAAATTACCACACACTACCATATAAAAGTTGAGCAAATATATATGGCAAAGGCTTGTATGAATAACTAAAAATCAATTTTTGCGACGAGTGACTGGTTTGGCTTGTCTTTTACCACATATACAAAAACCTGGAAACATTCTGAGATACAGATACTGGTTACACAACCTACTACATACTGTTCACAAGGTCTCTAATGTTATCCATTAACATTTTGAATATTATGGTAAGAAAATTTCTCAAATATACATTTTTAATTTGCTCTATTACGGTGAAATTGTTATTTTTAGAGAATTATATAAATACCTTTTGCAGAATATGATTATTTTTTTTTAAAGGAACATCAACACAATCTTTGTATTAAAGACATCAGAGCGATCACGTTGATCATGGCATACTACAGTACGCCTCATTACACATCGTATTTACTGTTCCGTGAAATGTAATTGCCAAAACGTGACTACGAAATTGGCTGTTTAAAATTTTACTTATAATAGTATAGTTTTACTACAAATCTAACTTTATATTCAGCAGAACATGCTGGTGGGAAAGGCAGGTATTCTAAGTATAAGAGATATGGTTCTGAAATATGGGTTCTGAATGCAGAGTGGGTATTAATTTCAGTATATCTCTTACAACACCTCAACGAAAACCAAACACATAAATTTGTTACCTATTGCTAAATTTGCATCTTCCGCAGTTAGTCAGTGATATCACCCTTTCGGGTGAATGATGCAATTGTATATGGTTACTATGCGTTAGTTTGTTCATTGAGTTAGTATCCTTGAATAGTATTAAAATAAATACAAATAGATGCAATTTACAAATTATTTTATTTGATTATCTATTTATATTCTTGTCCTTTTAATTTACAAGACAGACGAAATGATCGTGCTAGACAAGCCTCCGACGATCACTTAACAGGCGAATGATGCGATTATGTTTGATTCACTATACATTTGACTGTCTGTCTCTGAGAGAGCTAATAATGTCCTTGGTTAGAATCATAACAAATTCAAATAGGCTCGATAGATACCATTTCACTAATATTAATATTAATATTATTATTTCATTAATATTATTTTCATTTTAATTATTGAGAGACAATGTGCTCATGATATACCAGTCTTGGACCATTACTTACAAGCCAATGGTTCGATTGTATCTATGTTTCTGAATTAGTATCAAGATTCAAAATACTGTAAATTTGATGAGACTTGACTTGATTTGATTACCACATATTAATTATTAATATTGCTTTTGATTTAATTATATTGCAAATACCAAGTGTTTATGCTGCATGTCTTCAACCACTACTGTAATGAAAATAATTAATCAAAATAATTTAATCATTTATGTATTCCAAAATTAACAATTTCTTTTTACAATCTGCTTTTCTTTTAAATATACTGCATAGGCCATCTATTTGTGCTATGTCTTCAACCATTACCAATAATGAAAATAATAATTCCAAATTTTAGTCCTTTCGGGTACCCCTTTCCTCACCTCTGAAAGTGTACATAAAAAAATGTTGATTTTTCAAAACCATTCTCCATTTATTTGTTAAGGCAAATAAAGAACTGTACAGTAATAACTTGGTCACATAAAAAAGTATAATAGATCCATGGTTGCATTATAATTGTTCATAAAAATCTATTATTTTAAATACTGCATGTTATTTTGTCATGCATAAATGTGAAAGTGTATAAATTTGTCTACCCTTCCCCCTAGCGTACTGTTTGAACCAAATCGATTTTATATGCATTCCAAAATTAATCAAATTTTAGGGAGTACCAAGCCAATTGGGCCTCCTCGAATCAGCACCTACATGTAATGATGACTATATTTACGCGATTACAAACATACAACACAGGCTTCTTATATTTCAATGCGGAAATTTGAACAGAATCTGTGGTTGTGATTGTCCTTTTCTTTTATCATGAGAAATTTGATCCCAATAAAGTTTGTTCAAAGATCAGTTTGTTTACAATCAATCTGTGGCTTCAAAAGCTTTCATTAGCAAATAAAAATATCTACAGAAGACTTGAACTTGAACAGCTACAAACCACAGCATCTATTAACGATGACTACATACTTGACTAGATTATCATTATTTTATTAACTAAAATAATTCTATTGACAAAACATTTTTATTATAAAATTAAGATACATATAAAGTACCTTATCAATTTACACTTCTATCATAAATGCATATATAATTATTTATCAGCTGAAATCTTCATCATGAAATCTTTACTCGCGCCCCTTCCAAAATTACAGTCAAGTAGCTAAAAATCGCCTAAAATCACCATATTTTGCGAATTAGCGCCCC